AAAAACTAAATTTATGGATTTGAATAAGGTAAAACCATTGAGGAAAAACAATAACATTTCCTCTTTTTACTAACCAGTTCATTAATAACTTGAAGGCACGACTGCTAGACTTCTGGTAGTCATAGATTTTAATCAACTAAAAAGAAAATGTGAATATATTTAGTATAATATGTCTTCATTGATTTCAATGCTATGGGGGCTCAGAGGAAGAGCAATTAGTTTAACATAATGTTGTGTTAGAAATCAGAGGATTTTAGTGAATAATTCCTAAGGGGAACCTGGAAAGAAGGACTTAAAAGTTAACCAAGGGAATGGATAGGTGAGGGAGATGGAAATCCAATCATATGTTATAGGCTGAGCATGGGAGAAAGTGTGAAAGAGCATTTTACTTTTATCAGAGTATTATTGGTGGTAACTAGAAATGGGGTTGAACCCTCGTGGTGTCGTGATTATGTGTTAAGCTGCCAAACCCAAGGTTAGCAGTTTGAAACCACCAGCTGCTCCGTGAGAACAAGATGAGGCTTTCTACTCCCATAAAGAGTTATAGCCTCAAAAAAAAAAAAAAAAAGAGTTATAGCCTCAGAAGCCCACAGGGGCAGTTCTACCCTGTCCTGTAGGCTTGCTGTCAGTCAGCTTCCACTTGATGGCAGTGAATGAGTGAGAAATGGGGGGTGGGCGTGGAAACAGGTCTCTGCCATGGGCCTTTTCTGCCATGTGGATAGTCTTGCTTGAGCCTTTCTTACGACTTGGCATTCCCCATGTTATGTTCCAAGAAATGTGCATTGGAGTCCCAAAAGTTTATAAAATGCTACTTGCTGTAAGTTAGTTTTATTGAATTACAGTGCACAGAGACATAGCAGAGGCTATGTGAGGTTCAGTGTTAACAACCTATTTACATTTAAGTTAGTGTTTTTTGAATTTACTTCACCATGAGAACGTCTTCCACAAAAGGCCTATTAATATTAATGTCCCATGGAGTAGTTCCATAGAGCATACTTTAGAAAACATCACCATGCTTGTGGGAGCCATTAAAGGGTTTTACATAAATTCCTGTCCACAATGTGCAAATTCACACTGTAATAAGACCGTTTCCTATTATTTTGGAAAGCTTACTAGAAATAGCATTCCCCCCACCCCAATTTCAGGCTGATTTGAATCCTGATTCATAATCCTGTCCTTTGACTCTCTCCACAGCACGATGAAAGCATTCGAAGGCACATGGAACAGATTGAGCAGAGAAAGGAGAAAGCTGCTGAATTAAGCAGTGGGCGACATGCAAATACGGATGACGCCCCTAAGCTGACCCCCTATGAAAGAAAGAAGCAGTGTTCTTTATGCAATGTCCAGGTAGGTTGTCAGTATTAACTTTGTGATGACCTGTTAGCTTTTCTTGTTAAACTTGACTAAGTCACAGAGCTATATCCCTCTAGTTTTTATTAAACCTATCCTCAGGCATCTCCTGAGGACCTTGGGAAATGTGAGGGGGCTTCAAAAAAGTTTGTGGAGAAATGGAATTAGAAGAAAATGGAAAATGTCCATGAACTCTTTGAAACCTATTCATAGCCCATTTAAAATGCACCAACATTTAGGAATAGTAGTTCAAAGTGTCCAGGCATACAGTTGCTACTTAAAATGGATGCATACCTACTTAATGATAGTCGAAGCCAGCATTTTCTTGGTTGTGGGACTCCAGAAGAAAAGCAACATTTTCAGCACTGCACTGTCTTTTGTGTAGTGGCAGTGATTTCCTGTTACGGAGGGCTAGGGTGGCATACCTGCTTTCGACCGTGTCTTTATGAGGATCCTCAACATTGGGTTCTAAGCAAACTACTTCTAAGTCATGTTTAAATGCTAAAATGTGCTCTGTTTGGATATAGTATACTGGAATCAAATGTAATGTTTAAAATTAGGTATAATTTTAAGTTGATTACATTGTTTTGCTTAAACTATGTTAAATGAATAAAATTCTGTGTTTTTGGTGAAAGTTGATACAGCAAATTAGGTTTCCATTTGACAGTTTTATACCAGTTAGTGACATAATTTATGTTTTTCACAAAGTGTCATTGTTCTCATTAATTGTGACCTGATGGTTCTGTTTTTTAATGATAATCTAAACAACTTTGTGCTTTTAGATCTCGTCAGAGGTGTATCTTTTTAGCCATATTAAAGGGAAAAAACACCAGCAAGCTGTGAGAGAGAATAGCAGTATCCAAGGACGGGAACTTTCAGATGAAGAAGTGGTGAGCTTTACTTCTGCTCTTTGTCTGGGTATTGATTGCGTGCGAGCAGAGGAGCCCTCGTGGTGTGGCGGGCCATGTGCGTGGCCGCTGACCGCACGCTCAACAGTTTGAAGGCACCAGCCTCTGAAAGTTCACAGTCTCAGCTGTGTTGATTCCCTCCATGTAGGTCAGCGGTTCTCAACCTGTGGCTTACGGCCCCTTTGGGTGTCGAATGACCCTTTCACAGGGGTCACACAATTCATAACAGTAACAAAATGACAGTGATGAAGTAGCAACGAAAATAATTTTCTGTTTGGGGGGTTACCACCACAGGAGGTACTGTGTTACAGGGTCGCGGCATGAGCAAGGTTGAGAGCCACTGATACAGGCAGTCCTGTGTGTTCTTTGTTTGCTTCTTTATCCTGTAACGGGGCCTCATATGACATTGGTCCTTCCGTGTGCATGTGTCGGGGTTTATTTTTTATTTTATTTTTTTTCTTCTTTCTTTTTAAACATTTTATTAGGGGCTCATACAACTGTTATCGCAATCCATACACACATCAATTTTGTGTAAAGCGCATTAGTACATCATTCTCAAAACATTTTCTCTCCACTTAAACCCCCGATATTAGGTTCTCATTTTACCCCTCCCTCCCCGCTCCCCCCTCCCTCATGAGCCCTTGATAGTTTATAAATGGGTATTTTGTCATATCTTGCCCTGTCCGTGTGTCGGGGTTTATGCTGCTCTGTATATAATTCAGAAGTGATTAGGCTTGGGATCCACCTTACTTACATTGGTATCACCTTAACCGATTGATGCCGTCATGTATGATATCAGAATGCACGGCAGAAGGTTATTTTATTACATAAGATACGCTTGCATCTAACACATTGTGCAGGGGACACATTCATTGTATGACACGATGACTCGTGGTTGGTTCTGAAATCTTAAGTAGAGGTCAAAAGGAACGAAACCACTGTTTCCCGTCTTTGGATCTGACACTTGTGAAGGGAGCTTGCAACCATCATTGTGCTTCACCTTGGCGGCTTCTTCCTCTTGACAGTTTTTGTCAGTCAGTGTTCGACAGTCACATCGACAGTTCTAAACTTCCAGTTCTGTCTTGTCAGTCCTGTAAGATCGCCAGTTTCTGACTTGAACGTTATTTTTCCACACCCTAAATCGGCCTAAGCCGAGGTGAATGTGGAGCTCCCTGGGTGCTCCCCTTTGTTAGAGACCATACGTCTTAGTTGTCTGTGAGGCTGTCCGGTACTATTATGGTTTTCAAGTAGCTTCCAGAGTTGGAGGATTAGCCCACTGTGGCTAGAATCAGAAGTCTCTGAGTGTTTAACTCCAGTACATCCATTGCTTGACATAGTCTTTGGTTCATAGGAAGGTTATTAACTCATTGAGTTGTTCTGTTGAATTGAAGGTTGTGCCAAAAGCCTTGATGGTATTGAAATGGACTTCTAGATTGAAATGGGCGTCTAGATTTCGCTAAGTACCAGATAATAAAAACAGGAGTGAAAATGAAACTCGAACTAACTGTATGTGGCGCAATGGATTACACCTTGGGCTGCAGTGTGACTCCATGTGAAAAAGCGAAAGCTTTCTGCTCCCGCGAAGATTCACAGCCTTGGAAACCCAAAGGGGCAGTTCTGCCCTGTCCTGTGAGACAACTCGGAGTCGAAACTGACTCTAGAGCTGTGGGTTGTGGTGAAATTTGCCTCCGTTTTCCCCCCTTTTACTCAAAGTGTAAGAGAAAGTGGTATGAATTACTTTTTTCTGTAATCATTCCTGTAATTATCCTCCTTGTGTTGCTACCTCGAACGAAAGTCACATGCTTTACCTTAAGAAACTACTAAATTCTCTCAATTAATTAGAGTAATTATTAATAATATCATCAAAATACTTCTATTTATAAAAAATATTTGTACAGAATTCCCTTGGTAGCAGAGACCCCAAACCCATCTGTAGACAATGGGACATCCCCCCATAGAAGAGTCACAGGCAAGGGATGAGTCAACCAGGGTGAAGTATAGCACCTACATAACACACAGTTTTCCTCTGGTTCCTTGAGGCTTCCTCACCTCCAACTATCATGACCCCAGTCCTGTCTTTCACTGTGGGCTAGGCCGGAGCTCATGACACACGGAATCCAGGTCAGATATACCCTCAAGAACAAAAATGGGAGTAGTGATACCAGGAGGGTAGGGGGAAGGTGGGGAGAGGAGGGGGAAGAAACCGCTAGGGAAGGAAGACAGTGGTCAGTGTAAGATATGGAAAATAATAATAATTCATAATTTA